CTTCCCAAGCAAAAACGACCCAATTTTTTGGGTTATTTATCTAGATTCAGCTCCACGTACATCTAGATGCACGTGGACCTGAATCTAGATAAATAACCCAAAAAATTGGGTCGTTTTTGCTTGGGTTGATCCATCATCATCATCACTGAAATGTGGAGCAAAGAAATTTGTAGCCTGTCACATTGTACATTCACATACTGTGTAAATCATTTAGACCTTTTAAGAAATCATCAAGAAAAGATATTAGGCCCCGTTATCAAAATTGCATTCACGTACAAAAATAATTATTAGGTTTCGTACAACGCCAAAGTAATGATGATCAAGTTGAAGAACAGCAACACTACAAACAAATTTTAGAACAATGGAAATTGAAACAATTTCAACTGATCAATGAAATATATCAGAAAAAAACAGCTGAATATGAACAAAAAGTACAAAAAATAAAAAAGCTGCTTGTAGTGTGAAACTACAAATGTATTCAGATGAACATTTAATACCTGGCAATGTGGAGACATATCCCGATTGGAATATCATTTTTTGCAGCAAAAGTTTTTCTATACCCCGAACGGGATATAGTTTGAAATTATATCCCGGTCACGATATATTTCGATATGCCGATTGGGATATCAAGAAAATCTATATTCCAACCAGGATATCAAGAATTTTAATTTTTAATTTGTAAGAAAATGATAAATTTTAATTATATGAGAGCTGAATATTCTTCTCCTTCTTCTTTATTCCCCCTCTCTAATGTTCCTAGTAGTGTCTTTTGTTTTCTCCAGCTGATCGAAGAGTCACGTATATCTTTTAACGGACGTAAACAGATTTCTTCTATTAGACATCTTTCATATGTGAGTGTAGCATAAAATATAACAGAAGATAGAAGACAAAGTCATTACCACGCACAGTTTCATCTACCATACATTTGTAACGTTTTTTCTTCTTCGTCTTCTTATACCTATCAATAATTCACTTGATTCAATTATGCCTCCCAAAACATCAATGCAAAAACACCATACGGGTCCAATCGTTACAAAAGTCTAATAAATTGAAGCGTGCTCAAAGAACATAAAGCAGTTTACCTGCAAGAACGGATAAAAAATTTCCCGTTAAACACAAAGCACGTATATTTATATATTGTCGACGCATGAGAAAAGATATGTGTTTCAATATATGTGGGCATCGAAAAGGAAGATCAGGTGTAGGTTTTCGAGCTCTTTCGGATGGTGAAGTCAATTTTACCTCAAAATGTCGTCATTTTCCTCTTAATCGTTTTTACGACGAAATTTCATGTTTTATATCCCGATCGGGATACTACTTTTTTTTACTATATCCCGATCCACCTATTTCTCCAAATTATTTTTGTTTCCACGTCCATTTTCTCATTTTAGGTGGTGAAGGTGATGCGAGTAATAATTATAATGATGATAGTAACGACGAATTATTAGATGCAGCTGATATTAATAGTGAGTGTTGTGAAGTAGACCGTATTCATTTCTATTTTTGTTTGTCTAGATGAATCAATGGAAGATGACGACGACAATATTGCAAAGTATGGTAATGGTAGAAGAGAAACAACAGTCAATACACAGAGTGAGTCAAAAATAAAACAAAACAGATGCACTTCTGACGATCTAGCCATGTATCCGTATCTCGTATCAGCAGAATTCGTTGTCTATCCTTCACTAAAACAATTACAAGAACTTTTAAGTAAAGTTGGTTCATCGTCGTTGTTCTCTGATCTCGATAAGGATATTAGACAGTTAATACATTCATTAGAAAATGTGTTATACGTACAACAGATGTAACAAAACAGCATGATAAATATGAACAGATCTATGCATATGAAATTGACGATTATGGGCATCAGAATCTGATAAATGATGCAAATATATCCTCGTTTTGTCATTGCCATATTTAATTGGTCAGAATATGACAACAAATGATATCTATTAGAATACACAAAAGTTTATATTATTACAGAATAATCGATGGTTTTTTAAAGGATCAGCTGCAGAGGGTAAGTAGAGTATTTGAACTTGGAAATGGGTAGACATACGTTTTATGAGTATATCTTTGAAGTCATCGACAGCAGATCGTAACAGGGAAGAATGAGGCTTAGAGTTTAAGATTTAAATAACGGTCGGCTTGTTGTGCTTAGCCGTTTCTGTAGTTCAAGCAAACCGCTCTTCTCGACTAGTGCAGGATAAATGAAAGTTAATATTGGATATTAGTTTGCTTTAGAGGTTATTAGCAGGGACTTCTCGAGGCATTGTAACTGTCTGACGCTCTTACAAATTTTGAGAAAATTGACTGACGATGCATAATTTTCTGCACCATTCTCTGATTTTGGGTCATGTCTCCGGTATACCGAAAAATGTTAAAAAGAAAAATATTAAACGACTAATATTAAAAATTAATTAAATAAATTTTTCTATCTGAATCTGATAAAGATTTTTCTTCTTGTAAGATAGAAAAATATTTAATTATTTTTTACAGAAAAAAACAAATATTAAAGCTGTCGATGATGTTAATACTAAAACAGTTTTTAATCAGACAGAAAAATATATGATTATTTTAACATAAAGGAAAAATATTGAACGGACTAATATTTAAACAAGGTGGAAAATATATAATGATTTTTAATATTAGTCATCTAATATTTTTCTTTTTAACATTAGTCTATAGAGCCTGTGTCCTTGTTCTGGTACAGTTGCTGTGCATTAAAACTGTTTGAAGTTCTTTAGGCGCGCCCACTTTATAGAGGATACTTCGAAGTAAATGTTAATGAAGATTTATTCATTTATTCATCTGACAAGCATTTAGAAATGTTGTTGGGGACTCCTCTTTATACCAAAATCCTCGTTCCGCTACTATTCGCAGTATGACTGTCAGAAAAAGCCTGGAAGAAGACTTTTGGAACACATAGACATCCATGATCTTAGTAGATTGATATCTATGAGAAAAAATTGTAGTGGTGTTTTTTACTAGTTCAGATATTCTGTGTCTTATTGTGGCTTTTCTAAAATGAGTTATACCTTTAATCAAGAGCAGCGGGCACACATAGAACAAAATATATTTTACTCAAAAGCACTTCTTGTGTCTATTTTTAACTTAAAAATATACGATCGTGTACTGTGTCTAACAATAAAACTGGTAATTCACAAAAAAAACTTGTTAAATTAGATCCTTCCTATAACTAGCATTCGATGGTTTTTTATTTCTATACACTCGTAACCATTTATTACACCAATATCCAAAAAGAATTGTAATAGGCACTAGACCAAATGTTCCAAAGACGACAGCCAAACTTATGGTCCTTTTAGAATCTTTTATTTTTTCATCCATCGACCATATTAAATCATACTGTTTCGTCTTTGTGTAATAACATTTGTAGACTTCACCAATCTAACAAAAATGAACAAAACATACAATAGCCTTAGAAAACTAATCCGAATAGAGTGACCAGTAAACCATTGATAAGTATTGGAAACGCGCGAACACTTTGTATCTCACGAAAGAACGCAATATAAGCCGTTTACGAAAAACATTCAGGCGTTAATAAGATACACACCTTTTTGGGCTGTTTTCTGACAAATTTTTGGGTGTTTTTTATGCGTTTTCACAAATAACGTACAATGTTTCGTAATACATAGAGAAAGCCACCGTAGTTCTTCAAAAAAACACCAAAAATAGCCTATATTTTTCCGAAAACGTCTACAAACGGCCTGTTTTTTTCACAAAACTAAGGGTGGCACTTTCTCGTTTCTTTCCCAAAAAAAGAAAAGTAAAAACTGACGTTCCTTCTTTTGTAAAAGGAAAGCTTTTACTTTCTTACGTTTCTTTCCCAAAAAGAAAGAAAACGAAACTATAACATAACTTTCTTTTGTGTTTTTCTTTATGAATAAAGCACTTTGAAGCAAAGCCTAGTTCATGTTCATGATCAGCATCGAAAACCGAATCGA